GTGAGCAGTCGTACATCTTGAGCGGTCGTGAATCGAGAGTTTGGAACTTCCCATCATTACTCCCTTAAGGGAGGAATATTTTTTTTCTAGATGGATGTTGAACCAGCTAACAAAAGTTAACAAAACAACAAGTTATCAGTTTTTGAAATACAGCGATTTTAAGAAAAATGCTTTAACTTTTATCTATTTTAACAGAGTTTGAATATATCACCGTTTAGAAGTTACCCATTTATGTATATAAAAAAGTAGCCTCCCTGTATGTCTACTCTACTAAAAAAGTTGGTTTAAGTTTTTATTTTTATTGTCTACTATATACTCAAAAAATGTGTTTTAAGTTTTTATTTTGTTTGTAAATGTTCTGAAAATAAATCGTTTTAAATTCTTAACATAGTGGTTTATTATCATCTATATCTACAATAGATTAATAATATCAGTATCATTAATACCATAAAATTATTATTCACATTTAAAAAATCGTTGTATTGACTTAAGGGTAATTATTTTGATTTAAATCACAATTTTTTATTCAAGCCATTTTATTGACTTAACTCTTACGACTTACTAAAGGAATTAAGTCATAAGATGACTTAAATCACTTTATATTGATTTAAGAATTTGCGAAAATGATTTAATTCAAAGACTTAATACTTAAATCATTTGAACTTTATCTTAGAATTGACTTAAGATTTAAATCATTTTGATTTTAGAATTGACTTAAGACTTAAGATTTAAGTCTTTTTAAAACTGACTTGCTGCAGCTCTGGTACTAAATTAGTTAGACCATATTATATAGGTTTTCGAAAAAATTGCTTATGTCTATACTTTCATATATAGCTGAAATATTTAAAAAAAATGCTTAAGCGGTCCTCGCTGCCCCGGTCTCCCCTACACTCAAATTCAACAACTTTTGTAAAAGTTACCCCTTTTAAAAATTTTACTATATTAGGTTTCATCATTGTTTTTGGAGGTTGCTTCCAACGGAGTCGTTTACCCATTCGGAAACAACCTCTAAAAACAATGGTTTAACGAATGGGCTGAGGTCCAAAAGACAGTCTGTCTGGTGTCTGCACTGTGGGCTCCGGAATAACAATTTTGGTCAAAAAGATAAAAAATATTGTTTGTTTAAAATAAAGTTTAGAATTTTATAAAATGCACTAGTATAAGACAGAAACGCTATTTGGTATGAAATGAAACACCATCAAAAATTATACAGGGTGGAGGAAAAGACTGGAAGGCTTATTTTTTATTTGCATGTATGAGTATTTTAGGAATGAGCATTAAAACATGTGTTTGGCCTAAGAATTTGCGAAAAAGGGTGGGACCATAGAAAATTAACTAAATGCAACCCCCCCCAGTTATCAAATAGTATTTGCGACTTGCGCTGATTTATGTATCCAAGGTGAAATGTTAGGTTATCGCTTGTAACATACAATTCTATGATTTGGGACAGAAAAGGAAGTTAATTAAGTTATTTTTTTATAGATTCACTCTTTTACAGACTTTTTTAGAATACGCATATTTTAAGCTCATTTCTTAGTGGCAATAAAAACTATGGAATATTTTTTAGTTTGATTTTAATTTTTTACAGTAGAAAATAGGCCACAAAAATTAGTTAAACTCTATTAAGCAAGTAAAATAATGATTAACAAAAAAAAATTTAGTTGAACTTATTAAGTAAGTAAGATAATTATTAACAATACTATTCCTCTTCGGAATCGGATGATTCACTTTTTGTCAATGATGAACTATCATCCTTAAGCAGATGCAAAGCTTCAGAAAAAAAAATTTGTTTATTTTTCTTGGGTAAACTTCTTAATCCAGATATAAATGGATCAGAAGAGATTAGGAATCTATTTAAGAGATCTTGGTTGGTATCAATTCTGGACCTTTTTCTGGAAAAATGCTCTCTGTAGTGCTTAAGATCTTTGTTACGTGATTCCTGCGCTTCTTCTGATAACATCCCTATAGGAAGTATTGCCGCCGAAATTATTGATGCACCATGAATTAAGACTTTATGCACGCTGCTCGGCATATAGTAAAATGGATATTTATTTACCAACAAATTAGCAGTTTCTTCCGCATATTCCTGAAATTTACTTTCGTTTATCGCAAAACCTGATGACATGACTTGTAATATACAAGAGCAACGTCTGATGCATTCTTCGTTTAGTTCTAATATCTTGGAGGTGGCTAATGGATCGGCAAAAAATCTTCTACTGGTATTGCCATCATTACTTGTTCCACTTCCACCTGCTTTTACTTTATCGATAATCAAACCCATTTCGGTTCTAAATTTAAGCTGAATATTTTTCTTTCTCTCTTTTACACTGTCCTTTTCCTCTTGCGATCTAGCGTGCCATTTTTTGATATCTAGTCTGTAAGCCACATGTAAAAAATATTCCATGAAGCGTATCCACGCATGGAGAGTCGATAATCCATAATCAAGGGCCTCGTTGTTAATTGGTCTAGTTTTTACATTTTGTATATTGTTCATTATTTTAGGTGTTGCTTCACAGATGTTGCAGGCTTGGCTTGAAGATGTCTCTGTCATAACACTACAAATCTTTCCGTCAATCATCGTCATTTTCATTTGGTGTTTGATGGATAAAAGTTGACCGTTGTGATTCATCTCTGTAGGTTTTAGTTCATCAATTTCTTTTTTTACAGAGGCTGCTTCTTGTAATGTGAAAGCAGTAGTTTCTTTCTGAAAATAAAAGTGAAGTGGCCTACAATACCTCGTTGACGATGGTCTAGGGTTCTGCCAATAAATTATTTTTTGAGTCGGATCGATTTTTGAGTAAGAAAATAATTGCAAAGGTACAAGTGAAGTTAAAAAAATATTTGAATCCAAAGCATTTTCAGTTTCAATAAACTGCTTGTATTCACTGTGACCTGTGCTACCGTCACAACCCCATTTTGTGATTAAAATTAAGTCAAGAGGTCCATATGTATTTTGGAAAACTTCTGATTGAGATAAAATAATTCGGAAAACAGTATGGTCCAAAAGTCCTTGTAACTTAATTTTTGCAGATAACTCTGTTACCAAAATGTTATCAGGAGATGGATAACAGCATAATTTTGCCTGCAACATTTTTTTGTATGAAGGATAAACATCAAAGTTTCTTTCTTTTCCTTCTCTTCTGATGGTTAAATAGTCACTTTTTGATAACTTAGTCTCAATTATCAAGCTAAGTGCTTCTTCACTTGTGTATGGTATAATTGGCTTTGATTTCTGTATATTCCAATTGCTTATTATTTTTGAGGCTCTAGTAGGAGAGGTTTCGAGACTCTCTTTAAGCAGTTTGACTTCATCTCTTTTTCCGTCTATTTTTAAACTTAGCTTTGTCGCCCCAATTAACTGATTTTGCTCGCAACTTGTTGCCAATTCCTTAATTTTTCTTCTTCTAGTTCTTTCACTACTGGAGGAAAATGACTTTTCGGGTCTTCCCAGCGAGTTTGTTGGCGTTTGCATGTTATCCATTTGCGGGAATAGAAGAACAGTACTATTTAACCATTTAGTGTTTTGTTTTAAAAACCTACTCTTCGTACGATTACTTTTTTTCCACCTTTTGGATAGCTGGTCGCAAATTTCATTAATTTTTCTTTTTGTAGACTCTTCAAACTTGGGGCTTTTGATATTCATCATATTTAAGATCTCGCGACATACTTGTAGATTTTTATCTTTATGATTACCGTTTTTATCAATCCAGAAATTAAACACATCTATTCTTTTAAGATTCATGTTTTCACTTGCCCTGGATTATTCTGTAACAAAAGAATTCAGTTAGCAAATGAAAAATGTAAGATTTATTTTATTTATTTTTCTTATCAAGCTATTTATTTCTAGTCTCATGAACAGCTTTAATCCCGATTTTATTCAAACAAGAGTTTTGCAGTTTTCAAAATATCATTCTTTAATTTGCAAACACCCTGTATATGTAAAAATGCTTAACTCACCTAATAGACTTTGGTTTGCATAGTACCTTCTCAATAAAACAAGAAAATTTCGTTTCTATAATAGTTTTAAGTAGGTATATGTAAAAAAATCCATAATGTTATTTTTATTAGTTTTTCTTTTTAAACACAACATACTTCAAAAAATTAAAAATTTTGCCTGGAGGCGAATTGGGGCAAAAGTTTTTGAAATATTTTTTTTCTACAGACACTACTGTATCTAAAACCGAATAAACTGGAAAAACTGAGAATGACAGAAAGCAATATTTTAATGTTAGAAAGTGTTTTTTTTTTAAATAATACATCTTGCGCATGTAAGCAGTAAATAAGCTCTACGGCCACATACCAAATCAAATTTTAACAAAAAAAAACGTTTTTAAATTTTACTTACCTTTCTCTAATTAATGCGTGTAGTACACAAACTGTAGGCACTGTAACTACTTTCTACAAAACAACTCAAAATCAGATAAAAAATCTCTTAAAAATACAATTTTTTTCAAGTTTCCAACACCTTGACATTAAACTTCTGACTGACAGCAAACCGTGCGACTTTTGGTTATGCATTTATTTTTCTAGGCCTACTAGATTGTTTGCTTTAGAAAAATGCTTACTGGAAGGATATTATAAATAGTTTATTTTAAATCAGTTATGACCAAAATTATGATTCGAGAATCCACTGTGGTCTGGTGCGAAAAAAAAAGAACTGTGACGAGTATCTACATTGTTTTTAGACCAACCTCTAAAAACAATAAGTTTTCAAATTTTGGACATTAGGGCACATCCATTAATTACGTGAGGCATTTTTCCGATAATTTGGACCCCCTCCCCCTGAGATAAGGTAGACCCCCCTAACTCCCACGTGAGATTTTAGCCATTAAACTTTCTTTGCGGACAACATGTAAAAAAATTATTATTATATAATTATAATACATATTTTTTAAACTCAAAAGTTGACGTGAGATTTTAAATGACCCCCCCCCTCCATTAAAATGAGATTTGGCGAGATTTTGCTGGACCCCTCCCCCCATTTTTGTCTCACGTAATTAATGGATGTCCCCTTAAGGGTAATTACTACCCCCAACTTGAGTGCCTCAAGTATACCCGATAGGAACATGCAGAGTTCTGCAAAACACATAGATGGCTGTGTCGGAAATAGGGTACGTCAAAAGGTAGATGGAGCTGGTAACTTTCAAGGTATACTTACAGACATAAATACGACATTTTAAATAACGGCATCCCAAAGATCCCAATTTAATCAAAATTCAACAATTCTGTAAAAGTTACAGCTTCTTAAAATTCTACAACTTAGCACCCTAGGCATTTTTGGACCTCTATAACATTTAGAAAAATAATCTGAATGTAATGAAATTTTTAATACGGACCAAATAAAATGTTTAAATAAAATTATCAACAAATTTCTATTTTTATTGGTTACCATAAAACCAACCTTAAAAAGTATTGGTGCTAAATTATTAAAAAAATTTGTTTGAAATGGCTTGAAAATTTTATCTAGTAATTGTTCTATCAAGTTAAACAAATTTATGGTGTACTACCAAAAGTATACCTAGTACTTTTTATGATGTTTTTTTGACCAATTTTTTTTTAAATGAAGTTTATTGTTACTAAATTATTTATAAAAATAAGATAAGATCTAAAGAAATTTAACGCCAAAGTTCAAATTATACAAATTATTGGTTTTTTTAACCTATTTGGCGAGTCTGCCCGACTCATTTAAAAAATTTTGAAATAATTTTGTAGAGAATTGAACGCTGTTTTTCCGAATTTCCTGAGCTCAAAAACAATATTTCGATTCGTTTTTAGCCCTTTGAACTAAAAAATACAGAAAAAATTCGAGTAAACGACTAAATTGACGGTTAATTTCACTTTAACCTTGAATAACTTTTAACCAAGTTAACTTACCGAAAAATGACTCTTGACCTTTTTTGTAGAGCGTTCAATTCTCTACAAAAATATTTCAAAATTTTTAAATGAGTCGGGTAGTTAAAAAACACAAAAATTTCGTATAATTTGAACTTTGACCTTAAATTTGTTTAGAGTACGACCTATTGTTCGTTAGTTACAAAAATAAAAAGAAACAAAAATAATTTTTCCTGTTATTCTTATGGAAAATCAAAAAGTGCGATGAGGAGCATCTTAATTTTGAAACTAAGAGCTCATTTTTTCACAGGCTCATTTTTATATCTATACGAAACTTTTGAGCGTGGTTCCGAGAAAAAAAAACAAAAAAAAAGGTTTTTTTGAATCACCCTAATATTTACGCATAATTTAAACCAATATTCTTATTATTTTATTATATATTTTAAACTGAATTTGCTTTATTATTTACTATATTTTCCGGCCTTTACTCTAAAGAGATCAAAATGCAATTAAAATTATATAACTAATGGCATGATAGACTCAAGTCCAAAGAAAGGCACAGGCTGAACAGTTTCTTAGAAAGTGGGGGACCGGTGTATTGCGGACATTTCAATGTTTTCTTAGTTCTTGCTTCAAACCACGGGTCATTCTTTAAAGTAACATAACCACGGTAAGAATACGCGTACGTTTTAAAATCTTGATTAAAAATTAAACGATGGTGCATTTAAGAAGAAAATAAGTTTGAAGAAGAAATGATAATATAGAAACATATTTTTTAAAATGGTTAGTAAGTATTATGTTTTGATTATAGTTTATCGCTTTCAAATATTTAAAATTAAAAATTAAAAAATACATTTATGTATTCTTAAAGAACGCACTTTTTTAGATATACCCTGAAAATTTTATTAAAATTTGATTGTAGATTGTATCTATAGATCTTCCAGATAATTTTTAATAACCTTACATGTTGAGCGCCACAATGTAAAAATTCAATATTTTGCTCTTAAATAAACATAGCTTTTCATTAAACAATTCATTTTGCTTTTTACACAATCTGGAATAATTATAAATATAAAATTGCAAAAATTTATATAATTGATTACGTTTATTAAAGAAACCAACATTATTTTTTATTTGTTGGTAAAACAAAACAATTTGCAATTATTTACAATCTACATAAGAATTGGCTTTTGAAGGTTGAATAATATAAATACAATGCAATGTCTTAAGAATAATAATGGGTATAATATAATAACAAAAATATATTCTATATTCTAGAAAACTTGAAATTAAAATGTGAAACTGCATATATTTAAATATTAACTTTGAGTTCAATATCTTCCTGATTTTTTTATCACCATAATTTTATCCCAAAATAGGTCAAATTACAGTTTGTGGTTCTCAATCTATAACTATTAGTAGCAATAGTTTTTTATACTTTGCAGAGAGCATTCACCGTTAATTTTAGTATGTCATTACACTCAGTTAATACTGTAAATGACAAGTTCAAATATATGAGTTAAATGTTACATTTTTAATTGTTATTTTATACGATTTTTTGTTGAAAGAGAAAGCAATGTAAGAATCAAATAAACAACGAAGAAAGTTGTATGCCTTATAAAAATGATTCATGTATTATGTTGGTAAATCCTGGTATCTTTAAGTATATTAAATTTGCAGAAATTGGGTTAATCATATTAAAAAACCTTGATATTATATCAAAAGAATTATTATAAATATTAAGAAACCATTATAAATAATCGAAAACTTTGAATCACTTAAATTGACATAAATAATTATTTTTTGAAAATACTGTTTATTTAACTTTAAAGAACGTATTGTGTATACCCTGATAATTTTAAAAAGGTTTGACACGTTGGGCGCCAATTTATCAAAATAGTAACTTCTACAGTTTTGATGCATATACATGGATATTTTAGAGTACCCCAACAAAAACATGCACATTTCAATAAACGCATTTACTTTTTATTTTCTCGGTGTACCCTGAACATTTCATCAAAATCGGAATATTTATAGTCATTATAGTTCAAGTTTAAAATATCAATTAAATGTATTAGAAAGTGACATTTAAGCAACTGTGTGGCAATATTTGTTAAGTTAAAAAATAATTGATGTTACTAATGGATTGACAAGTTTTGATGCATATACATGGATATTTTAGAGTACCCCAACAAAAACATGCACATTTCAATAAACGCATTTACTTTTTATTTTCTCGGTGTACCCTGAACATTTCATCAAAATCGGAATATTTATAGTCATTATAGTTCAAGTTTAAAATATCAATTAAATGTATTAGAAAGTGACATTTAAGCAACTGTGTGGCAATATTTGTTAAGTTAAAAAATAATTGATGTTACTAATGGATTGACAAGTTAATAAACAATAATTTTTACTAATTTTTAGATCCCGATAATTGCTATTTTTTGCGTAACCGCTGTAATAGGCTTTCCCAGTCCGAAAGAAATAGTCTTACCTGAATTCAACGTTTCCTCAGCTGCTGAAATAAACGATTTAACGGCCAATGGTGTGCAAGGGAGGTCTATTAATGGTGTAGCTAGTCAAAACAGCTTCGATGACACCATAAAAGAAGTTGAAGCTATATTGAGGACTAACCCTGCTCTACCTAGGTTAACAAGAGGTGAGATTCTGGACCTATTGGATAATATAACTCAAACTGATATAGAAAAGGCAAAAGTACTGACAAATAATAGAGGGCAGAAAGCTATAATGGTGGTTATGCCTTATACCCCTGAAAGTGAGAACAATTTGCAAGATTTTTATACTAAACCACCAATAACTAAGATGATTGGAAATGAGGGTGACAAGAATGTTAAAGGTGGTACTAATAGTGTTAAAAGACCATCTGGAAGGGTGTCTACTAGTACTAGTAGTAGAACAATATCAACTAGTACTATTACAACAACTGACACACCCGTGACAAATAGAAGAATACCACCCAAAAAGCAATACACTCCAAAAAAACGTACCAAAGTTGAAACCACTTACCCAACAAGTACACCAAAGTACACTGAGTACTATTCAAGATACTCCACTATACATCCTAGAACTACAACTATTCAATCTACTACAACATCAACCTATAAACCTAGATCTAGAGGAACACCTTTAAGAAGACGTAGACCTACAACAACAAAATTCCCAAATCATAGCTACGATGAAGACATGTTGGTGCAGGAAAATGTTCATGAGGAGGTGTATCAAGCACCAAAAGAGCAAGTTTTCTTCAACACAAACTCGCAACAATTTTTGCCTGAGGAGGCAGTCACCAAAAAAGAAACATCTTTAAGAAAGGAACACCCAACAACATCATCGCCAGATTTGATAGAGTTAAATATCCCAACACATCTTACCGAAGTTGTTAAAGATATGCATCTATCGGATGCGATGGATGGTACTATATTAGTACCAACACAAAGACCAATACCCCAAACTGATGTAAAGGATGATGCACAAAAAATTAAGGATTTAATGGAGTCACTGGGTATACAAACTCCTACAACAACTGATATGCCCAACATGGAAAATGTTGCCTCGAATTTGAGCCCTGATATGAAGGATTTGTTGATGAGTTTTGGCTTGATTCCAAACCCTGATAAAGCAAAAGGTAAGTAACTATATTATTTATAAAAATTGCATAATAAAGGTTATATTTCAGATGTCAAAGTGGAAGACCCAGCACCAGATAAAGCTGAAATTAATCCAGACTCATTCGTTGGCTTTAAACCTCTACCTGAAGACTCCTCTAGTAGATCTGAGATGGACGAGTTACTAGCCACATTTGGGCTTGGTAGAAGCTCGAGAAAAATTAAATCACATGATTATAAACAAGATAATGATCACATAAGCCTAGAAGCAGTACCTGATGAATATAAAGGTTTACTTACAGAGCTTGGTTTGAGACAGGGTAGAAAAATCGAGAGTTATTCAATGAAGAAAACTTTGGCAAAGGATAGTAAGGATACCACCACTGAAAAACAGCATGTCTTCAACCCTAGTGACTCTCAATATGCGTCTGAAGAAGAGTTAGATAAACTTGGACGACTTATAAACATGGTAAAAGAGTTGGAGAGCTTAAATCGCACCATAACAGACGAGGATCTCAAAAAAATCGATCTGCAAACATTAAAAGAGCTAGCTGAAAGTATAAAAGAAGAAGAGGACTCTATAGTACCTCTGAACGAACAAAATCCAGCACCAAATCCAATCAACTTTGACTATGGCCTCAGTAAAAATGAAGTTAAACGTCAGGAATCCACTACAACAACTGAAGAGCCCAAAAATCCTTCTATTAAAGACCTTGAGGAGTCATTTGGAGGTCAAACCTCCACCACAACGACCACAGAGGCTCCAGTAGAAGAAACCCCAGCTCCAAAAAGAACAGGAGCATATTTTTTGGTCGATTGGAATTCATTTTTGGACATTGATGACCAAAAAGGCAAAAGGGTGAATCTGAGATTCCAACCTACTGTAGGAGATCCAAAAAGGTTCTACTCAATATCAGTACCTTAAATATATTTGGTTAAGAGTATAGAAGAAACTCTATACTTTACTATTTATTTGCTCAATATTATTTTATTTTTTTGGGCATTTTATACTGCCCAAAATTTCTGTGGTGCCTTTTTGTACATAGCTTTTTGTAAATTAAATTTTTAGTTTCGAAAGTTTGTTTTTTTTGGTACACCCTATATATTAATATAAATTGTCATAGTTTTTGCGATATTATAAAAACCTTGTAGTTCTTTTAATTTATCATTTAGTCGATACATTTTAAAACGTGTACATATTTTTATTCTATTTAAATATTTATTTATTAAAATGTTAAAGTTCTTGTATATATTTTTATTCGTTTTAATTTATTTTAATTTTGTTAACTGTTATAATAAAAATGTTGTTGGGAAGTATAGTGAAAAATTTAGGGAAGGTTAGTTCAATTATTTTTTAAATTGGAAATAATTTGTATTAATTTTTGTAATTTTAGATTTAATTGTAACAAATATAAAAAGTATTGAACATTTTAAAGTTAGTGATAATGTTACAAAATGGGAAAGTATATATGATGATTATAAATCCACTTCTGTTGGAGTTTTTAAAAATAAATTATTAGTTGTTGAATTTTTGAAAAATCAGGAAAAAATCGTTACCCAAGAATTTTTAAATGGTAAATTACAACAATTAAATTTATTTTTTACAATTTTTTATTTTAGAAATGGATTACAATATAGAGAGTATTAAGATATTCCGACATTTTACCACAAAAAAATCTGTGATATTACTATTAGCATCATCCAACACATCTATCAACTGGTACGAAGTTAATAACCTAAAACTGGAAAAAATATGGACTTGGAATATGGTAAACCAAATCAAGCATTTCAATGTTATAAAGGTTAAAAATCACCATACAATCGTAGTTTTGAATAACATATCAAAAATTGAAGTATATGACTTTACAAAGGATTTGGAAAGTTTTTGGTACTCATTTCTGCAAACATTTGTGGTATTTTTATTAATGCATATTTTAGGCTCTCGCAATCTATAAGTTTACAATCCTCATCATCCATATCGACCTTTGTACAACATAAATGGAACTATTTTTTAAGCATAACCCAAAAAAATCATATTCTTGTATACAAGTACGAAAGGGATCATTTTGTACACCATAAAAATATATCCTGTGAGAATGTGGATCAAATAGTATCCTTTGGAATAGGTTTTCAATCTTTTTTGGCTGTAAATGGTTTAACTCCAAAAATATACAAATTTGAAGATAATGAGCTGATGGAGCAAAATGTCACGAATTCTCATCTAAATCACATCCAGTTTTTTAAAGTTCTACCCATCACCAAATATAGGTAAATGATTATTTAACATATTTAAAACTTATTAAAACTTTCTCAACATTTTAGAGATGATACAGCTTTGCTGATACAAAGAAATCTTATTCATGAATCTCACAATTCCACAGTTATAGACCTCCTAACATTCAATGGAGAAAACTTCGTGGAACACGAAGATATACCATGCCTATATTTCGGGGAGGATAAAAACAACCTCAACTGCCTGATAAACGATGAAACCAAAAACAGTATAAGTCAAATTACACCCCTAAGCATTGACGACGATACCTACCTTTTGATACCAAATGAAAATGGGCATAATGTACTTTTTTCAATAAATGTTAGTTTAGAGGTGTCGGAGAATCCGGCTATGGAGGAATTGGAGGATTTAAGGAGAGAGAAGGAGGAAATTATGGTAAGATTCGTAGATATTATAAACTAAAAATTTCATTAATTTTAAACCAACTTTTTGAAAGTTACAGATAAAACATTAAAGCTCTGTAACTTTTACTAACTTGATCGAATTTTTAGTGTATACCAACAAATACATGCTATATTAAAAGTCACTATTTAAATTTTCAGAATTTGTTAAATACATATGAAGGCATAAGGAAAAATAAGACCTCTTCCGAATTGGTATCATCATCGTTTATAAATGAAGCAAATATAGATGATAAGTCAAAAGAATTTAAAGATTTATTTAAAGATAAAAATGCATTTAATGAAGAAAGTAAGTTTAGACGTATACAGGATGATATTAAAAACATTGGCGATGAGATTACTGATCTAAATAATATTATGGATGAAATTTTGAAGAAAGAAAGTAGAAATAGTTTTGATACAATATTAATAGAAGAAAATTCTGTGATTGAAAATGGAATTTTTGAGGATATAAGTGCTGAAAACATCGATGTCAGTCATATTGTATTAAAAAACAATTTAAGACATATCCACGGTCGTAAAACTATGAATAATCTAATTGTCAATAATACTAGTACTGAATTTTTAAATGGTATACCATATAATGACATTTTACATAAATCTGATACAAAAATTGAAATAAATGGTAATATACAATTTAAACATGAAGTTAGAGCTGCGGATATACATATACAGGGTGGTGTAGTGAACAATGTTAACATAGAAAAAGATGTTGTATTTATAAACAAAAATCTTACTGGTATAGTATAAAATATAATTTTACTGCTTTTTATATGAATGTTTTTTCAGATACAATACATTTTAAAAATATCCTTGTGGAAAATTCATTTTTTGCCGAAGAAGTTAATAATTTAAATATAGTAGATAATAAAGTAAAAAACCACGTCAATGAAGATACGATATTTCTGCCTGAGAATGCTACAGTTAAAAACATAAACGGGGAAAATCTTAACGACTTCATTAACGAAATTTGCCTGAGAAATATTAAATGCTACATACCAAATAACTTTATAATACAAGGGGTACCTACTTATAAGCCAAAAAACAAGGCAAAACGCTAACACAAATATTTTTAGAACCTTTTAGTTCGAAGTAATTCCTACACAGAAAATCTAAACGATCTACCATATCCGGATGGTTATGTTTTTATCGATGAGTCACCACATTTGAATATAACTGGGAAAAAAGTTTTCGAGAATTTGGGTGTCATGGAAATAAGAACACCCGGTGTTCTTAATAATGAAAATACTGATGAATTTATAACGCTTTTGAGTGACCAACATATTCATAACATCGAGTTCAACGAGCTGGAGGTCGCTGAAGAAATAAATGTACGAATTTCTTAAATTATTCTTTGGTTCCCTAAAACGTAAAATTGTTTTAGATTAAAGGCAGTATTGTTGGCAAACACTTAGAAAAGTTTTTATCGAACCCCACTCTATCTAACACTGTACCCTCTATAAATGCCAACACCAACTTTAAGAAAGTAATTCTGGATGGAGATTTAATAATAACGAACAATTTGAATCAAGAAAACTTTAAAAAAACTCTACAAGATATAGTTTACAAGGTTACAAAAAATTCTTTAAAAAAATAACTCATTTTTACACATTATCTTTTCAGGATGAACCCACATCTGAAATAATCGGCAGAGTAGACTTTAATGAAGGAATATCAATACAAAACAATCTAGAAATTCAGTCTAACATAATAAACAACATAAACATACATGATATTATAACCAAAGATACCGACCAAGTTTTAAACATCAAAACGTTGGATGGATCTGTCGGTTTTGAGCACATATATGTAGAAGGCCTTTTTGGCGGCCAAAATGTATCGAAATTGGACTTTGAGACCATTAAACTATCTGGTGAACAATTTATTTCATCTACGTTGATTTTTGAAGATGTGGAAATTAAGAATTTAGAAATAACTAAAAAGTTGAATGATCTACCACCAAATGATTATTATTATGTTAATTCTGATAATATTTTTGATAATATGGTTACCATTGATAACTGTAAAGTTGATACAATAAATATCCTCAAAGATATAAAGGGGGATATAGTGGATTTTGATCTGGAAAACATTCTGGAGAATACGTTGAGTTTCAGAAAAGATCAAACAATTTCTGGTGATTTTACTGCTAAAATTCTTAATGTTGATCGTTTAAATGCCTCAAGAGTCAATGGAGGTGACTATGGAAAGCTTTTTGAGCAAGAAAATATATACAAAGAGATGCTAAATAAAGTTATCAGAAGAAATATGGAAATAGAAAGTACGTATACGTATCAATTTCTTTAATTGTTTTTATAATTTTTTTGTAGATCTACATATTAATGATTCATTGAATGTCAATAATATTAATGGAAGAAAAACATCTTATATGCTAGGAAATAGTAGAAATCTACCAAGAAATATAGAATTCGAGGTAAAAAAACTATATCATCCTAAAACTTCAAACCTACTAAAAAGTTATTTTAGAATGATGTCTTTTTCAACAAGATCCAAATAAACAAACTATCAGAAGTGAATTTCACTGAATTCATCACCGACATCATTTTCAAAAGCGATGAAAACCCTCAAATAACTGGCGATATAACCTTCAAAAACATTGTTGAAGTTGCAAAACTCATCGAAACAGAAAAAATCAATAATATCGATATTGATGATATTTTAACTAAGTTTGGTAAACAACAAATCAATAAGGCTGTGGTTATACAGGGTGATGTTCATTTTGATGATGTGCATATTACACAGGGTGTTAACGGTGTTGATGTTAGGGATGTTTTCGAGAAAATTGAGATGAAGGAAGATACACTGAATATTAAAGGTGGCAGTAATTTTTTTTGTTGATGTTTTTTTGACTATAATATTTTTAGATAATGTGGTTTTTGAAAGACAACCTCAAATATTAAATTTAACCATACAGGGTTTGGTAAATGAAGTAGAACTGGAAAAACATGTAAAAAATATAGTTAATGTAAATAAACCCAATGAAATAAATGGTAAAATTGTTTTTACTAAACATGTAAGTGTTTTAGAGTATTTTAAAGTATTTCCAAAAGTTTTTGAGAAATATAAAACTAGAAAAAACTGATTATTATTGTTATTACTTTTTTAGGTAAATATTACTGGAGATATTTTAATAGATAATGTTTTAAATAAAAGAAAGGTTGCAGAAATATTAAGCAATGCTTTGTACATTGACAGAGATGCAAATATACAGGGTCCTATAGTTTTTAATGAAACAACATTTTTCCTTAAAAGTTTACTGATAGATAGAGATTTAACAACTAAGAAACTGTTTGGGTTTGATTTGGAAAACTGGAAACAAAATGCCATATTTATCAATAAAGGTTTAATAAAAGGTATAACTCTAAACTGCAGAGTGTCCCAAAAAAACTTCTTCCTCCATCTTTGGAGACCAATATTGGCCACCGAAAAGTTGTCATCCAACCACTCTTGACTTTTTTTTTTAAGTCCACGTAAATCATTCTACACAAAATCTTGTATTTTTAGGTACATACGTATTCGAAAATGCCATCATTCATGAAAGTATACTTTCAAAATACATAAACGATATCGATATGAACACTATAGTACCACTAAGAACTGAACAAACCATTCCAGCAATGTTTTTTGATTATATTTCCGTTATACGAGCACTAAATTTAAAAGGTAGCATGAGTGGTTACAATCTAAGTGAAGAAGTACAAAATGCTTTGACGGTAAATAAATGATTCTGATTTCCTTAAAACAGGCCTGATATTGTTGCTCGTAAAAGTTATAGGACTTTAAAGTTCATGGTTACAGTTTTTGTATGGTTTTCTGGAATTTCAGGGTGTGCCGATAAAAATACGACGAAATAAGCTTATTTTTAGGGTGTACTAACTAAAGTAGTCTCTTTTGAATGCATGTATTAAATATATCGGTTTTTGTTGGTTTACCCTGAAATTTAAAAAATACGAAAACTTGTTTTCAGGGTATACCGACAAAATCATACTATTAAAAAGTTTTAAATTACTTTTCAGATGGACAAAAGCTACGATATCAACTCTGAGATCGTTTTCCAAAACAATGTTCTCATAAGAAATACAATGAATACACCAAAAATAAATAATATAAACGTTCAAAAAATCGTAACGACTAATACAGATCAAAATTTGACGGCCCTGTATCATTTTCAAATGAAATGTACTTTACACAATAACATTTTTATTGATGGGTATTTAAATAATATTAATTTAACTGAGTGGAATCAAAATGTTGTCAAAGAAAATAGTGAAAATATTCAGGATATCATGCAAACTTGGGATGTATCAGGAAATATTACTGTAATGGAGGATCTAAATGGTGGGGGAATGATAAATAATATGGACTTACATAAAATACAGAGTGAATTAGAGGAAAAAATCAACTATAAGTATTCTGTGGAAAAAGCTATTATAGTGGGTATTCTTTTAAAAGTTTTTTTCTTGTATTGTTGAAAGGAATTTGTAGAAAGAGAATGATAATTTTATCACCTAAAATACAGAATTAGTATATATAGAAATATGGCAGGGTTATATTTACATTTATAAAGGTTTCATAGTTTAACGGAATTATTTTTAAAGCTTTCAATTCGACTTGTTTTTGAGATCTCAGCATAAAAAGTATCATGTTTTTTTTTGTTGTATCGCTTTTATAATACCACCGGTTGTTTAATATGGTCACAGAGACTTGCATTGACTAAAATTTTATAAAATTAGGCATACTTTTCTTCAAAATCACCCTATTTTTTGTAGAAGTCAAAATTTTAACATTTTGGCGCCCAACGTGTCAAACTTTTTTACAAACCTTCACCTCCACAAAATTCAGGTTGATTTTGATTTTTAGGATATGACAACACAAATACAATTAATATTATTTTTTTTTTTTGAATTAGTTTAGGTACCTGGTAAGAAAGCTCGTTTCCAGCCACACAATACAAAAATAGTTGTATTACATGGCCTATTACGTATGTTGATAAATGTATGGCTTCTATGAGGTCAATCGTTCCCTAAAAACAGTAAAATGTGTCAAAAAATATGTGAAAATATTTGTTTTATATACAGTGGTTAACAAAAAACTTGACACACATATAGCGGTCACGCTGGATAATATTTGCGCGAATGTACTAATCAAAAATACTTTATTTAGATCCTTTGACATACTAAAAAAAACAATTAGTTTTTTATAAAAAAAAATGTTTTTTATACTTTAAAAGCAATTTGTGATGATCTATACACTGCCTTAACAAGTTTTTACCATTCTCATCTTCACCAATAATTTTTTTGACATTTTTTTCTTTCTCCGTGCCTATATATTTTAAAACACTCTGTAGTAGTCTAAACTGAGTTATAAAATTAACAACTAAACATAAAAACAAAAAATCATGTCCACATATAGCATGTACACTAACATATAAATTAGCAAACCACTGAAAAATATATATGATTTCGTATAAAGGACTAAATTTATAATTAAAAAAATAAATCGATTCAAAAGGCAGAGAATAATTCCCGTATATTAGTGGCAAAGTTAAAACACCAAAATCATACAATACTGATGTCAAATAGATGGAAAAACATATGAAAAATGTAAAATAAGTTGTTTTTGTCAAAGATTTTTGAAGATTTGTTTTTGCAACTCTTGCAAAATTTGAACCAAACGTTCTGTAGAATATTTTTAAGGATTTCCGAGTTTAAATATAATGCTGTGATTTTCGTTAAAGCCTAAAAAAAATTGTTTTATAAATAATAATATATTAAATATTAAATAAGCAAACCTGAAAAGTCACAGATATTGTGGATAAAGAATTGGTAATCACAGAAACATTAGTGAAATTCTTCATAAAAAAATTTATTTGACCGAATTCAAGAAAAATCAAAAAAATCATGAAAATGTAAAATGTTATTTTCGTTAACAAAGTATGTTTTTCAGGCCATAATGTAACAGTTTCAAGCAATATTTTTGGCACAAATAGCACTCTTTTCGATATATCTTTTAAAGGAACAATTTCTGAGTTCATCTTCATTGTACTAGAATTATTTTCAAATCTTGTTAGTTTATATAAATAATTTTTTGCCTCAATAATATTTTGCAGAGATTTCATAATTATACCTTATGTACAGACTATATTATTTAACCAGATTAATTATTTAAACACGAACTAATAGGACAAGGACTATTTAAATATTCAGAAAAATTATTTTTCTAGGACGACTACAACAATCTATGCAAAGATATTGAAAATGTCTACGATCTAAGCAAAAAGCAAATTTATAAGTTCAGATATTTCGATAAATTTCAAGATTTGGTTTTTGAGAATCCCATTGCTTATGTTAAACATATCAAGGTAAGTTTAAAAGCGTATTAGTATACCCTGAAAACTTTATAAAAATGTTTTTCTACTCCCACCTTTACAACGCGTACATGTTTCCATGACGCCAAGTGACCTTTTAAATACATATTGACAAGTTGTGGCTTTATGGCGCTTTAGTCACGGGCTGAAGTTGCAACAGGTTTTTAGTCACGGGCTGAAGTTAGTTTTAAGTTAGTTGACAGTTGTCAAATATCATACAATCGCTAAAATAAAGTGCCTTGTAAAATATTACTAAATGTGAAAATTATTTTATTATCTCAATACAAAAATACAAAAGTATTAAATAGTTTCTCAACGCCAATATTTGAAAAGTTTATATGAACATTGTACTGACCTTTTAATTTCGCCGGCAGTAAACTATAACTTAAATTCGGGCACGGACTCCACTGTAAAGTGCTCATAAAACATTTTCTTTACTTTCACTGTGAAAAACTGTCAATTTTCAAGAAATACATTTCGATTTATAACCTTTATGATCTAGGCTTAAAATTTAAATTTTAAAAATTTGACATTTGACGGTGACACACAGATTATCATATTGTTTCAAAGATGGCGCTTTATACAAATTTTTGATTTAAATCATTTTAAGATAATAAGTATTTGTCGTAGAAAAAGTATAGTATGCACCTCGTTTATAAACTTTTCTATACACTCATTAATTTAAGCACTCGCTCGGAAGCTCGCTCGTGCCTAAAATTCGTGTATAAAATGGCGTTTATCAAACTTGATACATAATATACTATTATAGCTAAATTAAAAATCAGGTAATTTAAGGGTAAATTTAATAAAAAAAACTAAACTGTACCATTTTTGTTGGTAAATTTCATCGAAGTTGCTTTAAAACTATAGAAGTTAGGGTTTTAACATTTTGGCGCCCAACGTGTAAGGTTTTACAAAAACATCTATAATTTCCACAATTTTACTGAATTAAAAAAATACATTTTTTTTTCAACAAATACCAACAATCTTTAAAACCTGTTCACGCGAATTGTAATATTTAGTTAGCACCACTTCTTTTTATGTTGGTTTAAGGGTATATCAATAAAAATACGAACTTGTTGCTAATTTTATTAGAAAGAGCACATATTAATTAGTATAACCTAAAAATTTCATAACAATCAGAATACTTTTGTGGAAGTTACAGAGCTCCAAAAACGCCTAATTTTAACACTAGGGTAGTTTTTTGGACAATTTTGAAAATGTGTAACTTTTACAAAAATTTTGCGATTTTTATGAAATTTTCAGGCTATACTAAATAAAGTACGCTTTTTTAAATGCTTGAATTTAAAATATCGTATTTTTGTCGGTATACCCTGAAAGTTGCATTTTAAAAGAATGATGATTTTTGGAGTTCTCTAACTTCTTCAAATTTTACTGAAGTTTTCAATGTATACGCTCTTTTGAACTAATCCAACACATTTTTCCAGTACAATCACAATAATTTCTTATTGGTCAACGAAGAAGATAGTTGTACTACACATATACTATTCTATGGAAATAATTTTAAACCTGTGTATTCAGTGGAAACAGGGTTTGTTGATGAAATTATAACTGTTCTTGATAGAAATACAATGTATTTGGTGACCAGAAGCCCTAGAAAAACTAGGTGTGATGTGGTTGGTACAAATGTTTGGAAGTTTGGGAAGGGGAACATGGAGGTAATTTAAAAAAAAATTTAATCTGAATATGATATATTTGGTTGTAGCAATTGGTAAACCTGGATAATATTAATCTACTGCAAGAATCAATGGTACCTGGTACCTTTTATGGGATGAATAAGCATGGTGTAACTGAATTCATAATCAAAAAGAACATTGTTAAACCATATAGGAAATGGGAAATTTTTGAAAGTAATAAAACAACTTAAATGACTTACAGTATCCATATTAACCCTTCTTCTAGATAACATGGCTTTTGTACCACGTGGTTTAGGTACAGGTTTTGCCGTTCGAACCGGCAAAAAATTGATACGACTTAATCGAGATCAACCAGACGATTTAGAAAATACCAACGAGCTTAGTATGAATTTAGATGTCATAATAGTTGGTAATGTTACCGAAGAATCAAACCATTATTTTCCTGGCAGACTTGGTGGGGATTTGGTAGCTACCAAAGTGGGAACAAAGGAATCTGAACGAACTTTACTTGCTGTAGCAGCTCATGAAGAAATCAGTGTCAGGGATCCACTAGATTTTATAACAGTATGAGAAAAAATACACTTTCTAATGTGATTACTATATTAATATAATATATATTACTTTGTTTTTAGGTTTATAGCGACCCAGTCCATGGTAAAATGTTTCACAAAATCCCAACATACAAACCATCGTCCCTTCTCTCCATAGAGTTTGGTAATGGAGAAACTTTGCTAGCTTTTCTAGAGAACAAGCGAATATTACAAATATATGAATATAAAGGAATAAACGGCTTTAAACATCGTCTTTCAGCCAAAATATCAGCTTCAAAATTATTCCTTATGGATCTACCATTAACGCAATATTTAAATGAAAGAAAATTTATTGGAGCCATTCAAGATAATAAAATTACCCTACTAGAGGCTGTAATGTCAGGTAATCAAGTCGACTCAGATTTGACTTGTAAGTTAATATAAAAGTGTTCCTTGTTTTTTTTTAAATTTTCTGTTTGTTACATACATAGATAAAAATATACGCATGTTGTTTGTTATAATACTAAAATAGGTATATTGTGTTTTTTATTTAAGAGTATCACCCTCTAATTTGTATAGGCTTCTTTAATTAATTCAAGGGTATATGCAAAAAATAAGGGTGAAACTAGATAAATGTAAAACTATTAGGTTACAGGTTTTTTAGTGATTCCTTATTTAAATTTAAAAGATTTTTTTTTGCCGTCTTCTAAATTGGAAAAACAACAATTATATTTTCGAGTTTGCAAAACTTTTGGGTGTTGTTTTTTTAAATACTAAATTTTTAAAAACCTGATCTAAAATATTTTTATGCAGCTGGTGCAAAAATAGAAAAAAAATAACTTTCTGCATGAAATATGTTTTCCTGCGCTTCTATGAGAAATTTGTCGATTTGATCCCTGCTCAATATTTTCTACTTTTTCGGTAGATATCCTTTGCCCTTTTGTTTGTGTTCTGATTCCGCCGGGAGAAATTAATTTTCTTGATCACTTTCCATCTATAATCTGTGCTTTCCATGTCAAGAGATTTGAAGTTACTTATCAACAAACCTTGGCAACAATAAACTTCATGGACAATTGCATTCCAAAACTATGTTTTATAAATTTAATAACGTAAGAAAGGCGTTGGTTTCTTCTTTTAATGGTGTTTGTAAAAAAAAAGAATATAATATAATATCGCTCGCTAAAAGTGATTTTTTTGTTCCTTAGTCGGTAAATTAAAACTTTTGACCTACGTACCTTCCCTATGAACCTCTCTACTCTCGAAATTATAGTTCAAACTTAACAAAAAAGCTTTCTTACACTTTATTACCCCTGATAGTTGATAAGTTTGCAGTAATTATAGTAATTTCTTAAATCTTCTTAATTTTCGTTAGACGCATCTCGATACCCAAAATTGTTTCTAAATATTTTATAATTAAAAAAAACCAAAGTCGGCAGTCACGTTTGAACTCTTGACGAGGTTAGACTTAGTAACAAAGACCTCGCTTGAAACCAAAATTTTACATTCCACATAAACAACTCCTACAGTGCAAATAAACTATAATGCATTATAAATACAGTGAATTAGATAAAGGCTACCTTACGGTCACGGAAGTAATAGCGTGTGAACTGATAAGTGACAGCATACCTGGCAATAGAAAGCATTCTATGTGAAGAACAAACGAGGCTAACCAAGAGTGAAAAGGGCCATCATCTGCAAATATTTGATAAGTACTCTTAACTGACTGCATGACCTAATACGTAAATTTGCAATATTAACCCCGATCAGATACCTTCACAATCCTAAGCGCTCTTTCCGATGTTCTTTCCGCTTAAACACAACCCTAGTAAAAAAAAAGTAAATTAAAGAGCAACAGCAATATTGATAATAAGACAATAGTGACAAAACAATACAAAAAATAAGTCCAAGCCGTCCCAAATCTTATCGCTGACATTCACGGGATTATAGCTAAACAAGACAAATAAATCAATCACCAAGTAAGTCACAAAATCCATAAACTTAAAAGACCTTTTCTACTAAACAACAGTGTGTAAACTAACCGAGACTTAAATAAACATATGAACCTAGAAACTTATAGGCTTACGTCGTAAATGCAATAATCTATTTCATCAGTTGTTACGAAATCATAAAAGACAAAGACGGACAAACCAATGCGTACTTAAACCACAGTATAAAGAACTGTATATTGTGCTTAAACGACTAGGGCAAAAACGGCTATTGGGTAGAAGTGGAAACAACACTAGCCGCCTCGGACGTCTTCAACGTCGCAAATGAATCCACGAACAGGGGGGATGACGGTCAAGCCTACGACAAGGAAGATAAGTCCCTACAGCTAACTAACAACTCCCCAACTTCAAATAGTAATCCCAAATGTTTGGACTAATACTAATTTCCCGGTCTAGGGGAATTCCGCGTCGTACACAGATTTGAGTCGGCGTAATTGTCCCCTAGAAACCAAAATGTCTGCCCCCCGTCCCCACCACCTTTTGTTCCTACTGGGCGTATAGCAACGGCCCGTCGAAACCGGGAGAGGCTATTCAAACTATTCGCATGTCGCTCTCGAACCCCAAATATGGTACAGTACCAGTCAAATACTTGACCTGGACCATAGACAGGGATAGTTGGGTTATCTGTTATGGGAATCCATACAATAGGTCGTGTACCTAAAGATGTATTGCTTACGAAGAACCTCTAACACTTCTTGTAGATGGAGGGGCCGACGTCACCTGCCTTAAACGCCATGGTGCACCATGGTGGGTGGAAATCTAGTAGTGTAGCAGAAACTTACATTAAAAATCCATATCTAATAAGAACGATTGTGCAATAAAAATACTGAATCCTGAACCAAATTATTTTTATTCTAAACAAGGTTATAGCAAAAATTACGAAGAAACAGCTCTAGAGCCGGCTACTATTCAGCAAAATTTGTTATAAACATTTAATGTTTATAGAAAATCGAGGGCAACATTCCATGAAAAATCCTTAAGCGCGGGAGTAAATTACACTTTGACTTCGCGTATCTTTAATTTAGAAGGTGCAAAAATAAATAATTGTGTATTTATTGTCCACACAAAAAATAAATAACATTTTGCCAAAAATGGGGTTTTTATTCAAAAGCACTTTTGGGATTATCTTTGAGCAGCATAAAAGTACTTTTATTGCCATGACAATGAAGTAAAACTTTAACATTATGCGAAATGACACAAAAGTGTCATTTTACTGACGTTTGAAAAATAGTTATTTATGTCATAAGGCTGAGAAGTGAGCTCAAAGCTTAAAGTAAAACGCGTTAGCGAAGGCATACAATTGAGCGAATAAATTAGTCAAAAATGACTAATTACACTAGTTTAAAAAATCGAAAAAAAAAATTCTGCCCACCATATCCCATTATAATTTTCCCATGTATTTTGATCCACTAAACACGAAAATCACACTCAATTTTTTTTATGGAAGCGTTTTTGAAATATAAAGTATTTTGACGCTAGCGATTTTAATAGCTTAAAAAATTCGTTTTTATGGCAAAAATTGAGGTCGAAAATTTACATATCGTCCTGGGAAAGGTTTTAATCAAACATATAACTCCGGTTTGAATAAAATAGAGTTCCTTTGTATAAATACTTGATCCAGTAAATCAACGTCTAAACTTCCTCGGGTAACAATTAATTACTTCATAATTACGTACGTTACTCCATTTCCAAGACGAAGGTAACAATTATTGTTACCTACTCTATAAAAATTAATTAGTCAAAAATGACTAATTTAATAGTTATTTGTGGCTGCTTTTTCACTTGTACCTACCATGGTTAACCATGGAATACCATGGTATTCCAAAATTTATAAATTGTTATAAATGTTATAACAGCCAATTCTTTTGTAAAATTGCCCCTGAATCCGAAAATACCGTCAAAAATTATGAACGTGGAGCAGTTTTTAAGATATCGATGACTTTTTGCCCAAGTATCGCAAGCAACATAACTCAAATTTCGGGAATTGAAAACATTTTTTATTTTAAAGTCTGTTTTAAACCATATATAACCTATAGGTTTTATAACAAGCTATATTTAATTTAAAACAGACTTTAAGACAAAAAATGTTTTCAATTCCCGAAATTTGATTTATGTTGATTGCGATACTTTGGCAGAAAATCATCGATATAGTCAATTCCATATTAAATGGAAAATTGACAATATCTCAAAAACTGTTCTACTTTTTTTAACTTTTAACGATATTTTTGGATTCAAGAATTGGCTGTTAAATTTTGGGATACCATGGTATTCCATGGTTAACTATGGTACAAGTGAAAAAGCAGCCACTAATAACTATTGATAATCATTATTGACTAATTCATTTTTAGAGAGTACGTCTTGGAAATGGAGTAACGTCGCCAGATCCAGTGGCGTAGCTAGGTAACTTAAGGCCCTGGTGCAAAAAAAAGGGCCCCAACTAAACTGTTTGGGTAAACTTTCAATTTTCTTGGTTTCTTTAAAAAACTTTCTTGATCCACTGGTAATATTCATAAGAAAAAAAAAATTAACCTACACCCGCTTTTTTTCTTTCTTATGAATATTACCATGGTACTGCAGTAATGGATCAAGAAAGTTTCTTAAAGAAAATTGAATGTTTAGCACGGTTGGGCTAATTCTAGATTCCTTTAGGCCATATTTTGTATTATATTTCATTTGCTAAATGATCTTCCAGCTTCTGCAGAAGTAAAAGGAATTATATAGAACAGTTACATTGTTGTAAATACTTTTGTTAGGTCGCATTCTAGCACTCCATATTTTCTCATTATTTCTTTACAGAATTGGTGAATAGTCAATGCCTTAGTTAATTCAGGTTGAAGTAGGTGGTAAATACTAAGGAATAGAGGGATAGAGGGAGAATAGAGACTCTCTATTAGAGAACATTTTTGATAGTTTATAAATTATTACTACCACATGTTCTGAAGTAATTATGTGTCTTAGTTGTTTTATATATTATTTTCTCTCATTTTCTTAATTTTAAATGGAATCTAAACGGTACTATTTATAAAATGAAATAAAACTGATTTCACATAAGCATCAATTTAAATGCAAAAAATTTCAAAGATCAATCTTTTTAAACAGTAACTCCCTAACCGACAGTAATACCTTAAAGTCCAAGGAAGAATAATTCTCCCACCTTTGGAATGTAAATAAAATAAAAATTATTTTTAGCTAATTCAATACGAGGTTTGGTGGTCAGGGTACAAGGCCCCCCTGAGCTTGGGGGCCCCGGTGCACAGCACCGTCTAACCCTTCTGTAGCTACGCCACTGGCCATATCATAGGAACAGCAAAGGCCATCTTACGATTTTTTTCCACTTATGGGGAGCCCAATTTTTCTCCTGGTCTTCAACTTTGCAGCCAAAATACAAGCCTTTTTTTATAAAAGGGTCAAGAATACGTTTTTGTTTCACAAAAGTCACTTCACCACATACATACATATAACAGAAATGATCCCGCTTATTTATACAAACTCGCGACATGTTGCTCAAAACTCTAATTTCTCAAATACAAACAGCTCTCGATCAACTGGTAATTGAACAAACTAATAATTTGTGTTTTATTGTTATATGTATTTAACCTCCTTATAAAGTATACCTCATATATATGAAGTGACTTTTGTGAAACAAAAACGTATTCTGGACCCTATTATAATAGTATGATCGAATTTTCCCATACATTAAGGATTAGATAATCAGGTAATTAACTATATATCAAAATTAGCCTGGATCTATTAAACCGAAGCCAACCGACACTTTTGCAAGGCAGATTGTTAATTATTATAATAAAATTAGTAAGATTGTGCTATTTTGTCTTGGAAACATTTTTGCTGTTGTACCAAATGAAACAGTAAAATTAGTAGATTTAAATTAAAAATAGTTTTGACCCAACCGGGGTTTATGGGCCATTTAACCAGCCTATATGCATTTAACGCTAACATTGTTTAGCCTAACAATAAATTGTTGTTGGCCGCAAGAATTAAAAACGATTAAAGAAATTAGTTAGGTACTTTTTAGGATCGGAAACAGTCGAAGATTATGACTTATCTTAAACAAGTCAAACTATTTAAGTACCTAGTAAAAAATAACTATTTAAAAGTGAAAACGACTATTTTATTAATAAACAATGCTGGTACTAATTCAAATAGTAGAATTTGGACTATTTCATTTTCAGAGATATTAACAATTAGTATTGGTCCTAACAATTTTTTTACAGACTAGGATTTAAAAAACTTCACCTGATTGGACCAAATTATTTTTACCAACTAAAAAGGAGATAATCAAATACTTTGGTACTGAGCGTTGATTATTATAAATCTTAAATAATAGAACGCTTAAAGATAAAATTATGAATCGTAATTTTAACGATTAATTTCGACTATATTTTAAGTAACAATTGTGATTAAAAGAATAATTGCGCCGGTGTCTGGAATGCACGGCCAACGTGCAAGTAATATAGCAGTAGATAAGGTCCAAAACGGTTAAGATACGCGATAGTCTGACAAAATCGATCGGCCAAAAGTGCGCAGGACCTGAGGGTGGAAAATTGCCCTTCATTCCACCAAGGTCTCTCTTACACTCGCAAATTACTCATTTTCGTCTGTTTTACTTTATTCATTGCAAATACAATTAAACATAACTTAAGTATAACTCATTATCGAAAACCCATTACCATTTGTAAACGGGTTTGGCGCCGCAGCGCGATAAAAAATAACCAATATTTACTTGCGATAAACGTGCGGTGGAATACACTTCACGCTGTCAAAACCAGGAAAATTTTTGTGATGCATTAAAAGGTTTAGAAATTCGCAAAATTAAACGCACAAAAATAATGTAAAAGTGGTTGTGAACTCTTTAAATAATGTGTTGTGTTTTTTTCTACAAAAATCGGGACCTTCTTCAGCTAAAATTGCACAAATAAGATATAAGGTAAGGGTTTTTTGTTAAGTAAAATAAATTAACAAAAAAAGGCGTATTTGTTTTATCCCAAAACAATATTTAGACCTTATACCATATGTTTCCAAAGATATTAACATTTCAACAAAATAACTAGGTAACTAATAATAATAATATGTTTTCTTTAAATCAAGATATAATTTGACACATGTAACCTCAAACGCTACAATTAATAAAACACGAACTTTTTGACCGCAAAAAATAATTAATAAATAATGTTCCGCCTCTGCTTTTAATAGCACGTGCCCAAGACAAGTTTAAGGAACATCTGGTTCTTTAAAATGCCCCCAAATTATTACAAGAAACCATTCAAAAAACACTATATAATTTACTTACCTTTTTTATTCAAGATTTTTTATTATTATTTTTGCCATTGGCGTACCTATCAAAGTTCAGTAAAAGTTTGATATTTTATGTTTAACGGATTTTAATTAAGTTTTCAGGATAAATCAACAAAACTACGATCTATCTTATGGAATTCCCAAAAATGTATTTTTATCGGTATACCGATAAGTATGTACTTTTATACATTTTTACTTTTTTAAATGTTTTGTAACTTTTTTAATTTTTGTCAGATTTTTATAAAGTTTTAAGGGTACACCATCTTTCTCTATGGGTATACTATGAAAAACACGATGTATAACACATTCTTAATAATTAAAAAAAATCTTATTAAAATATTTGTAAAAATGGTAAAGTCACATTTTTGAAAACAGTTTTGGCCAACTTTAAAGCTGCAAAAAGTATGATCGGCCAAAAACAGTTTTCGAAAATGTGATTTAACCATTTTATTTATAAACAAATCGTATTTTAGCGGGTATGCCCTTAAAATGACACTTTACTAAAAAACAATTTTATTTATTAAAAATCATCAACTATGAAGGTATACCAACAAAAACACGGGCAGTGAACAGATTTTCTATAAAAAATATATTTAAAAAAATACAAAGCAAAAACATGACATCTGATTCTTGATCTCGCCCCCTCTATCCCTACGCCACTGCATAGGGGTGCAGCCGGTCAAAATGCAAGGGGTTCGTACCTCGTGTCTAAGCACAGACGTATTAGACTAGGAGGGACCCCGACTTTGTCGCAAGCCTATACCAAACTGACGTAGCATAGAGCACAACACGACATCTGTTCGACAACAGAGCAGAGAAACAGCATCAGTGCATGCTTAAAATTCAAACATGTGACAAACACAAAAACCGCGTTTAATAATTTTATGTGTACTATTTATAGTTTTTATGTTTTTTCTCCATGAGGATTTAAAATACCTAGTTCAGTTTTGTGTTAAGTTGTGAACCTTAAATAACATGATTTGGATTTAATTTTATTCGACTGCTGAAGGTAAACAGTTTTGTCTGGATTTTAGTTGTATAAATAAGATAATTGTTATTGTATATACATACATAATCTGTGCATACAGACATTTATGTGTGTTTTACAGGGTGTTAAACTTAGATTACATAAAATATTTGCTAGGTGCAAAACCCAATGTATTTTTGAACTGGACGTTTTTTACATATCAATTTCAGGGATTTTAAATTTTTAACATTATTTGTGATATCTGCAGATGCGGAGCATTTTTAAAGTCAACATCTTCAGATGAGGATGCGGATGCAGATGTGGATGCGGATAAAGATGTTCAGAGATGTTTATATTGTTTTTGAATTTGCATCCATTGAATAATACAAAAAGCTTAATTTTGAAAGTAGAATAAATAAAAATAAAAAGCAAAAAATATGATAAGTCAAATATAAATATATTTATAGAGTGTGTGCGATTTAAGACCGCAACACCCCATTATTTTGGAACGGGCTGACCGTTGAATTTTTTAAGGACAGTACTCGATGAGGCCTGCTAAATTGGTTAGTAGGTATACTAACGAATACTAAAAAAAGTATTCGTAAAATTCTAAGTAGGAGTACTTAAAATATTTACTCGTAAGTACATTTGTAAAGAGAGGTTACGGTTGCGAGTAATAATCGTGAAAACACGAGTAAAGAGTACGAGTACTTTTGAAAAAAAATGTTGGTTAATATAGTTGATTATTCTTTACTCTCTAAAAATGTATTAGTCAAAAATGACTAATTGTCATAGCGAAAAAGCAGCCACATAATTCTCGCCAATAGCAATTTGTATTTTTAACATTTAGCAGTCAATTTCCATCTAAAATTGTTCCCTGAATCCGAAAATGTCGTCAAAAGTTAGAAAAGTAGAACAGTTTTTGAGATATAGTCCATTTTCCATATAATATGGAAAACTGCTCCACTCATAATTTTTGACGGTATTTTCACTAATTTCCACATTAGTCATTTTCGACCAATTCAGTTTTAGAGAGTGTACATTATACATACTTTGGTTCTGAGCTATAAAAATACAAATACAAATTTATAAAATTATTTATTTTAAACATTATGTATAACAATTCTTAAATAGTTTATAATTTTACCTATTTACTTGTTATAAAACCTATAGGCTATAATATATTTTATTATACTATATATTATATAATTTAAAACAGACTTCCAAACAAAATATTTTGATGCTTACGATATTTTGGCAAAAAGTCATCGATATAATAAATGGAAATACTCGTATATATTACTCGTGAATTCCACGAGTATTTGAAGTACATTGAATTTGGTTTGTAAGTACGAGTAATAAGTATTTCAAATGAAAAATAATTAGTAAAAAAGTACTCGTAATTGAAATACGAGTAAGAGTACTTAGTACTTGGCCAGCTCGCTCTGCTGCAGCGGCAGATGAAATCCGAAATCATCCAGATATGATAGCAAGAGCTACACATCATAATTTTCTACGCCGCTGTCAACGGCGGGATAGTTGAACATTTATTATGATTTTGTGGAACACTTAAAAAAATAGCTACATGAGCATCAATCGACATAAAAAGTGAAAGGTGAAATTTAAAATCCACGGGAAAACCACGGAAACCTATGATACCTAACAATAAAAATTAAATATTGTTTTATTCAAAGTACCTAAGAATAGCTGAGTATGCAAAACAAAAAGCATTATCAACAAAATAATCAATGATAACACAAATGAATTTAGATTATTGCCCACTGTGCAATCATATTTTGCGTCAGGTTTATTTTATAGTTCAGAAACAACCAGTAGCGGCCCAAAATTTCTCTTTACTTATAAAAAATGTATTGATTTTTGTATTCAAAAAAATGGCCCTAATCCAAACATGATAGAGGAAAAACGTTCTTATATAGGCGTGTGCTATCATCCACTTAAAAGGATGACAACTTATTTGGTGACACCCTGTATAAGGTATTGCAATACCTTATATAGGGTGTTTGTCACAGCATAGCGAATTTTTAAATTTTTCACTTTTCGACCGACTATGTATTTATGTTTAAAAAAGGAAAATATTTATTCGACTTGAAAGCAGAGCTGGCCAAGTACTGAGTAATTTTAGTCGTATTTCAATTACGAGTAAAAAAGTACGAGTACTTTTTTACTCATAAGTATTTTTTATTTGAAATACTTATTACTCGTACTTACAAACCAAATTCAATGTTCTAGTAAAAAATACTCGTGGAATTAACGAGTTATAATATTATATACGAGTATTTCCGTTTATTATATCGATGACTTTTTGCCAAAATCAAAATATTTAGTTTGGAAGTCTGTTTTAAATTATATAATATATTATAGCCTATAGGTTTTATAACAAGTATATAGGTAAAATTATAAACTATTTAAGAATTGTTATTTTTATTTATTATTTTATGTACCTTGAGCTCAAACTTTGTATCTTTATATTTGAGGCACGTCTAAATCGAATGCATCCTAATGGTCAATCTCTAAATTTTTACCCATTTAGCATTTCTAAGCAGGGCTTGAAAAAAATGAAAATTTAAAATTTTCCCACGTGGTCATCGAAATATATTAAAATCGACCAACGCGTTTCAAAATAATTGGGTGTTGCGGTTTTAAATCGCACAAACTGCAGTACATGTATATGGAAAAACTAAATCTTTTCTATTAAAAATAAAATTTAATGAGAGGCAAAGGCGTGTAAACCGGAATTTGCAAAGAAAAATACGCATTAAAAGGTTGCGGATGCAGATGTTATCATGATACGGAAGTTATGCAAATGCGGATACAGACGCAAACGTCTGTAACACTAGTGCGCAAATTTAAAGGATAACAATAATACGATATCTTGGTAACCGTTATATTGTTGTCCGTATTATTTGTCAGTTTGACTGAGGTTTTTACCTTTTTTCACGAATATTTGAAATTAAAACTGTAAAAAATGGCAAAAGTTGGGATAAACGGTTTTGGCAGAATCGGGCGTTTGGTCCTAAGGATAATAATGGAAAGAGGCGAAGATATTGAATGCCTTGTGGTAAATGACCCCTTTTTACCTGTAGACTACATGATGTACTTATTTAAGTACGATTCGACACATGGGCGCTTTAAAGGTTGCTGCAGTTTTGATGATAAGAACCTTATAATTAATGGTAAAAAAATTTACGTGTCCACTGAGAAAGATGGAAGTAAGATTCCATGGGGCGATAATGGGGTTACCTATGTCATAGAAGCATCTGGTATCAATACCACCATAGAAAAATGTCAGTGTCACATCACAGGTGGTGCAAAGAAAGTCGTTATAACAGCCCCATCAGAAGACGCCCCTATGTATGTATGTGGGGTCAACTTGGAGGATTATAACCCTTGCGACACAGTAGTTTCAAATGCGAGTTGCACAACTAACTGCCTAGCACCTCTAGCGAAAGTAATACATGATAATTTTGAGATCGTCGAGGGTTTGATGACTACAGTACATAGCACCACAGCCACGCAAAAAACTGTAGATGGCCCTTCTGGGAAAGATTGGAGAGGAGGTAGAGGTGCCGGCCAAAACATTATACCAGCATCCACAGGGGCTGCCAAAGCTGTCACCAAGGTTATAACATCCCTCGAAGGGAAGCTAACCGGTATGGCCTTTAGAGTTCCAACACCCGACGTATCTGTTGTTGATCTAACCTGTCGACTGGGTAAAGCAACTAAATATGACGACATCAAAAAGAAGGTCAAAGAGATGGCTGATGGCCCCCTAAAAGGAATTTTGGGGTACACTGAAGACCAAGTTGTTTCCTCAGATTTCATGTCGACATCACTTTCCTCAGTTTTTGACGCTTCAGCTGGTATAGCTCTAAACGACAACTTCGTTAAATTGGTGTCTTGGTATGATAACGAATATGGCTATTCCAACAGAGTGGTAGATCTTATTTTATATATGGCAACAAAAGATTAAAAATAGTAGATATAAAATATTATGACTATATGAGGTGTATTAAAATAAATTCTAGCGAATTATGTTTTGTTTAAATTTTTTAAAACAAAGTTTCACAACTTTTAGTTTATTTTTAGAAACTTTTTCTTTAAATGGTATTTCATTCAAAATCGATGATTTAAACGCTCTGTTACTATTGCAATTCTAATGAAATTTTTTGTTTTGGTGACATTTAACAGTCGTATTTTTGCTAGTACCCCAAAATATCAGTTTCAATGTAAAATTAGCTTTAATATTGCATCATTTATTATTATTAATTAATAAAACAAAATAGCGCTTTCTTAAATACAGTTAACAAATATTTACGCCTATTTAAAAAAAGTTTTCTATGAAATACACGCCTTTTTCCCAATCATGCAAATAAAATATTGTTTATTTAAATAGATAAAAACCACTTATAAATATTTACATTTTTATATTTGCAATTGCTTTTTATTAAAATTCTCATTTTTTGTTGGTATACCCAAAGATAATACCCTGCAAATTTCTTTTAAATCTCTTAAAAACTGGAAAAGTTACGATTTTGTGACAGGTTTTTAAATTTTTTAATAAAAGGCGTTAATTAAAAAGTTCTCAATATAAGAGTATATATAATGTATAAGAGAATACTAATTAAAAAAATCTTTTTATCAATGCATACAATAGTTATATATGTCATAAGGCTGAGAAGTTGGTCTTTTTATGCTGAGCTCAACGTTTTAGCAATCCACAAAAAATGGCAGTTTTATTTTTTAAACGATACACAAAACGTACTTACAATAGTTGTGTACAATAATCGGGTGAAGTTTTTTACATCCTAGTCTGTAAAAAAACTAACCTCACTGTATACTTATGTATTATGTATAAGTGTTATTATAATATTCAGAGCTGTCAGCAGTTACCGAATTTTTGTATTGGACGGTTTTTACAGACTAGGATGTAACTTCACCTGATTGGACTAAATTATTTTTACAGCCTAGGACATAAGTTCCCAAAGTGTGCGCCGTGGAGGGAGACCAGGGTTGCCGGTAGGCTTTCCTCTATTCTCTAGTTAGAAAAAGAAAATTATATTGAGCGTTTTTTATTTTTTTTGTATATTGGGGCTTTTTTGTCGAATTATTTGGGGCGTCGAGAAAATAAATTATAAGTTTGGGAACCCCTGGCCTAGGAGATCAAATACTATAGAGCCTTAACAATATAAAGTTTAAATTATAGGACGCTTGGAGATAAATGTATTTTTATCCTTTTGCCATAAAAATGGCATGTCAATATAAACACATTTTCTGCGAATTAATTTTACTTTTTAATTTTGCCACACACGTGCACAAGTTGCACATGTTTTTAATAATAGGTAATAAGTGGTAATTATTCAAGAAAAAACAGCATATTCAATAGAAATCACAGTTATTTAGCCACTTTCTTTCATGCGGCGATTTTTAATAGGTATTATTAAATTTTGGTTTTAATGTTTTCTTTTAATGTAGGTACTTATATAGTTAAGATTTTCTATTTTGTCGGTATCTAATTTTTCTTGCTATAGGTACCATAAAAATCACGTTTTTTAATCTAGCTTATTAAAAATTTGTGCACATCCATAAAATACAGTTTTCTTTACTTTCTTGCACTATTTTGCATGAACCATTAAAATTTATGAGCATTTTCGGGCGTTTCTTGAATCGACAATTTGCACACCTTTTATATTCGATTTATACATGCACTTACAGTTTCTTAATGTAATAAACGCATTGAACCCGGTAGTGGTGTTAATAATAACAATAAAATTATAAAATGCGTTTGGCAGTAGTCCAAAAGTGCTTCGGGCGACATTGGCACTTCTGCCAACCTTGTAAAAATCGGAAAATTACGTCACCGTCACTGACCAGCTCATCTTTATTTCAGATATATATGGTTGTCTTTATTTTAAATCAAACATTTAGTTAATTTTAAGATACTTTTGAAACACTCTGTATAAGGAAATGCTCGGTATATTTTTCTAAAATTAAACTCGACAGTTTTAAAAATGTTTATACTAAGATTGGAATGGTAATGTGTGTTAATTTTATTAATGAAATTATAAAATCACAGGAAACAGATGTGGTTAAGTCAAAAATACCTAATTAAACACATTTCCGTATAAAATCTTCTTTAATTCATTAGACACGTTTACTTTAGGGGTCGCCATGTTCTTGAAAATTTCAAGATCTTGTCTTGATCTTGTCTTGATTTCAAGACAAGATCAAGACAAGAATTAAATTTAAATTTCAAGACAGGACAAGAAATTGTATGTCAATACCAAGATTTCTTGTCAAGAAAACAAGAAATCTTGAAATATCTTGACTAATAATAAAAACACTAAAACGTATTTATTTGTAAAAAATATATCATAACATAACATATTTTAATTTATTGAACACATTGTTTGCTAGAACGATTCACAAAAATGTAAATTAAAAATAATAAATGATAATCCTGTTGAAACTAAAATTGCAAACTAGATTTTAAATTTAACAAATTTTTAAATCGGAATTCATAAGCCATGAATTAAGGCACATAAGACTTCTTATGGAGTCAACGCCTAGCCGATTTAGCCAGATTTAAAAGTTGAAATTATCGAATTGGGTTAATAAAATTATCAAATTTTCGGAAAATTATGTTACAATAATTGTAATAATTATGTTACAATAATTATTATAATTTAATCATAAAAATGTGAAAGAAACAGGGTTAAAAATATTATCGAATTATTAGAAAATTATAAAATTTGTTAAAAATTGTATAAAGCTGGATTTATATATGAACTGAACTGAACTATAGTTCAGAAAGTAGCGGTAGCGGTAATGGCGGCCCCTCGCATAAACACTAAACTTACAAGGCGAGGCTGCCAACTAAAAACTGCCGTGTGATTGGCTAGAGTAGCGGTTGAGGTAAGAAAAGATAAATGATGGTCATCTCTTGCCGCTACGTTCTTGCCTCTACTTCCCTTACCTCTGACAACTATAAATTTTTTCATATAATATTCAATGCCCAACTTGGCTACCTCTACCGCTGCCTCTACCGTTACATTTAGAACTATAAATACCGTACGGGCATCTATAAACAGCACTACGGTATTGTTGATCTTTTACGGGAGGAAGGAAGGAAATCTATAAATCATGCATTATGCTTAAATAAATTAATTAATCTGGATAGAATTAAGTTAATTTTCTCCAGATACTTTGATGAAAAATTATGTTACAATTATCGAATATGTTACATATAATTTTCAAGCTTTGTTTTTAGAAAAAATTATGTTACAATTCGATAATTATGTTACAAGTGGCAACACTGTTTGTGTTCGTCAGAAAACAAATAAAGCTATATATATATATATATATATATATATATATATATATATACTCTATGAAATAAAGATCGGTGAACCAATAGATTGCCGGGTTAGCATGCAACGCAATAAAAAGATCGCCAGGGAATCACCGGTTAATCAAGAAATTTCAAGATCTTGAAATTTCTTGACTCAAGACAAGATAAAAGATGTCAAGAAAACGTCAAGACAAGATTTTTTTAAATTTCTTGATTTTTTCTCAAGACAAGACAAGAAATTGTTATCAAGACAAGAATTCTTGTCTTGTCGACCCCTACGTTTACTTAATTTTTTTAAAAACTGCAATTATATTTTATATATTGAATTTCAAGGTATACCAACAAAAATACGAAATTTATATATACCTACCTACAGTAGTAGTAAACACATAACATTTTATCAAAATTTGATAACATTTGTAGAAGTTACAGATTTTTAAAAAAAAAGTTTGAATACGTTATTTTTAAATACACCTTGCTGAAGTTACTACATTTTGACAAAAATTGTAAACGTTATATATATTCTGCAGAAGGTATAAAAAGTCTGACACATTGGGTGCCACACTAGGGTGGTTCTTATTTGACCGATGTCGAAATTTTAATCGTGCCGCCCCCTCATTTGTTTTAAAAAAATATAAAAAATATGTATGCCAAATTTGAATGTCCTAACTTATTTCCTTCTATTGCCTGTAACAACGAAAAGTTTTCCCGATATATCAGAAGGATTTTTGCCTTTAATGTATTAATTTTTTAAAATTACTATTAATCTATGAAAAAGTATAATTTTTTGACAAAATGTAGAGGAAATAAGTTACTTTAAAACAAAAAAAAGAAATCATGTATTTTCATCCTAAGGTCTTTTTTACTTCGCTCGATTATTACTTACAGTTTTTTATATAGGGGATTTTTGCTTTAAAACGCAATAATTTTATAAAATCATTAATAATTAATGAAGAATTCTAATTTTTTGAGGAAATGAAGGAAAAATATGGTATTTTTAAACAAAAAAAAATAAGTCATGTTTGTTCATCGTAAGATCTTTTTTACTTCGCTCAATTATCACTATTGTTGTTATTTTATTGAAAATGGCATAAAAAACAAAATATCAGTGATAATTTGCATTTAATGCATAATTACTAATTATTATTATTATTATTAATTATTAATTAGTGTGTTTTAAAACGTAATTTTGTAATTTTCTAATGTTGGTGCTACACGGAAAGAAATATATAGTCATTATTAATATAAATCTAGTAAGTTATACTATAATTTTTAATAAATATAATTTCATTATTGTTTAGTAAATTTAACTATATTGTATGATTTTTTTAAATATATGAATATAATTAATTTTAATATATGCCTTCTAGTAATTTGTACAAAAATATTATGTTAGCTTTTATTAAAATGTTATAGTAATATTTAAAAAACAATATATTAGTAATAAATATCTTGGTATAATAATTTTAACTATATTTTTTTATAAGATTTACTATTTTTTTTCTTTAAATTATATTTTATTTGGTATGTTTTACTATAAATTTTAGTAAATATTAACTAGTTTTTATAGTAATATTTAACAGTTT